CACTTATATTAATACTTGTTGCTGAAAATGCCCTTTCATGGTGATAGTTGAAGGAAATGGTGTTAAGACCGTCAAAGCTCAGATGCTCTATGGATGAATATCCAAATATTTGTTATTTTTTATTATTTTTTAAATAATTTTTCCTATTGTTAAATGTGTTGTTTGAGGAGACATTTACCATATGAAACATTTCTTCTTCATGGATAGAGTACTTGTTTGGCTACTAAAATTGAATGGATCCTAAATCTACCAAAAGAGTAACAATTAAGTATTCTTTCTCAAATGTTGATCATAGATTTCTTCAGATTGTGTGAGAAACACTGGTGTTCTGTAGCATATAGCTTAACCATTACCTACCCTATGTTATTATTTTAAGTATATCTGTAACAATTGTAAAATGAACACACAAAGTCAATTCCAGAATGTTATTGGGGAAAATTTCAATATTCAATATTGGTTTAATTTTCCCATTGACATGTTCAACCTAAAATTGGAATCTAGCTATGAGATCCTATGTAATATTTTTAAAAAAAACAAGTAGATGTACTATGAAATCAAACCACTTGAATATTTTTGCTCTAGAATTATAAATATGAAATACAAATATTTAACTGATTCTTAAATGCAACTATTGTTTTTTATACTAATGAAAAGATTTACTAACAATAACTTGCAGTTTGATAAGCAGTTTTAAAGTTAGTGCTTCTGTATCCGTGAATTACTACAATTCTCATTGTGTTCGCCTGGTAGCTCTCCACGTAGAATGAATCCGTGACAGCACGTAGCAAGCGAGATGCAGATAAATGCGCGGAAATATCCCAAAAGCGAATGGTCCCAAAAGACTTGTGCTCCAGGTGAGGCTCGAACTCACAACCTCGGCATTGCTCTGCTGTGTACTGCTGTATAAGTACCGCGCGCTAACCGATTGCGCCACTGGAGCCCTGACATCAACTCTTCCCGAACGCTTTATCAAGGGCTCAACTGCAGCGGACGCCATTTCAACACATTCTTTTACTTTTTTGTTTCTGTCCGTTTTTCTTTTTGCTCTGAATTTCCGAGCACGACTAGAGGGGCAGAAGCAACGAGTTCTATTTCTTGCCGATCGACCGGCCTTTTCCCTCTCCCCTTCCTCAGCCGTCGCGTTGTTTCAACGGTGACGGCTGTTACTAGGCCCTGGCGCGGCCGTGACGCTATGAGACTCCATTGCAGCGCGGGAGGGTTTTGAGCGTCAAGGTGGGATGGGGCCTGTAGTTGATTGCCATCTCCCCGGTAGGGGAGAAGAGCGGGAGGTGAAACAGGCCCTAAGTAGCAAAGGCAAGCGGCAAATGGGGCGGGCGCTGAAGGAAAACCTGAGTGGAGGATCGAGGAGACCCGCGTCTTTGGGGTAAACGGGCCGAAAGATCGTGGCCGAGAAAGGCAAGGAAAAGAAAACTCCGATGAGGAATGAGGGGAGTTGGGCTTCTGCCGATCTGGCCAGCACGGAATCCCTAGAGGAGCGCTGTCTTTTGCCCTGTCGGGCATCGATTGCCCTAGATCAGGGGTAGGCAACCTTGGCTCTTTTATGACTCGTGGACTTCAACTCCCAGAATTCCTGAGCCAGCATGGCTGGCTCAGGAATTCTGGGAGTTGAAGTCCACGAGTCATAAAAGAGCCAAGGTTGCCTACCCCTGCCCTAGATCCAGCGTCTTTGGATGGGTGCGTTAGGATCGTCCCCGGGTCTTAGTACATTGTCGCAGGCGTTCAAAGAAGCGCGGGAGCAAAGGAAAGGAGATTGAACTTTCTCTCAGAGGAGAAATTTCTTTCAGTTGGAAAGTAACCGTGAAAACTTTTGTCCCTCGAGATGCCCAAGAAATTAAAAAGTGCATCTATGGTCCAACCCAGGTGTGTCCCCCTATTTCTTTTAACAATATAAAACATAATGCCAGCTTCTTTGGCAGATAAACAAGTATTGATAATTCAAACTGTTAACAGATTATTCATTTTTTTCAGATCCCTAATTCAGCTTTTGCAAAAGCACACAGCAAAAGGGGGAGTCTTCCTTTGCTCACAGACAAAATTGCAGACATTCAAGCTCAAACAGCAGCCAAAAAAGGTTTACCAAGGGCCTCAACCCTTTGGTTTTGAAGGGGGTTACCGAAGCACTAATGCTGATAATTTTTAGTGCAATCAGCCTAATTACTGTGCAATTATGCCATTTACTGTCAACTCAAATAGCAAACTGCTCTGTGAATAACAGTTTTACACTCAAAATTTACTGTATAAACAAAAACACTAAATTATTAAAGCTTGATCTAAAAACAATCTCTAGCTGAACAGACATTGCTGCTGTAAGATCCATGGAGCAAGTAACTGAAATCAGATATTGTTAATAATCAGTGGGGAAATAAAATAAAATCAGTTCTAAATCAAGTCTATTTTATAATCATTTTGGTCTTATTAGATGTAAGTGGGACCACATGGAAATATCAGATTAACTAAAATGGAAAATTTTAAAAATCCTAGATGGTAAAGGGAATATGCTTCCATAATACTGCCAAGAAAATTGCACTGATTTAGTCACTTGGAGTCAATATGGTTTGAGAATATATTTTATTACATATGTATTTATTGCTGCAGCACTAACATGTTTTATGTCTGTGGGAAGTCAGCCCCCCAGAGAAGGAAATATTAAAAGGGCAGAAAAATATATTTCCTCAAAAGGATTTTAAAAGCAGAAACCAACCCTGCCCCCAAGTCTCTGTCCCAAGCAGAAGCCAGCTCTATACAAATGCAAATGTAAACTATCAGGAAAGCTGGAGCTAGGAGAAGACAAAGACATCTAAAATCTGCATACCCCACCCAAACTCTAGGAGTCATTAGCCCTAGCACCAGGGAAGCAGGATATATGATGAGATTAACCCACCAACAACAGGAGTGCCAGAGAGGCACACTCAGGTCAGAATATGTGACACAGGAAATAGCCTCAAAGTTCATGCCACAGGAAAAGGAAACTATTCCAAACAAAAGGCTAGAGAGGGTATAAAAACCTACTACCCATGTGCTCAGCCCTTCTTTTCTCTGGTCTTTCCTGCAAGAACCATCTTTCTGGCTCTTCAATAAACTGCAACCTTCTTTCCAAAGCAGTCGCCATGTTGTTTATTTATCCCCGGCTTGGATGAACCAGGATGAAGACTTTAATCCATCACGTCTATGGAGATTGTCAGTCATCCAGGTCATAGTTGTCCCATAGTTGTTGCTTTTTCAGGAAACAACTGGACTTACTTGTTTTTCTTTGAAGATGTGTCACTTCTCATCCAAGAAGCTTCTTCAGCTCTGACTAGATGGTAGGGAATGAAAATATGAATATATTTCCAGAAAATATTGCAGACTACAGAAACGAGAAAATATCCTGCAGCCAGAAGGTTCCACACACATTTGCACTACTCAGGTGACCCTGAGGACACATATAATCCTCTAGATGACCCCAATGACATGTAAAAGAATGCAAATGACCAGCTGTCTGCAAGGAATATAAATCCTTCCATTCCCCACCATCTAGTCCAGGGATCTTCAAACTTGGCCCTTTTATGACTTGTGGACTTCAATTCCCAGAATTCCTCAGCCAGCGTGCCTGGCTGAGGAATTCTGGGAATGGAAGTCCACAAGTCATAAAAGGGCCAAGTTTGAGGACTCCTAATCTAGTCAGAGCTGAAGAAGCTTCTTGAATGAGAAACGAAATGTCTTCAAAGAAAAACAAGAAAGTCCAATTGCCTCCTGAAAAAGCACCTTTGGGACACTAACATGTTTGCAGCTATCCAGGTTTTCCCAAGAGATATTGGCCAAAGATAGAATATGGGATAATCAGTAACTATTTCATATGCACAATATGCCTATCTTTTCATTGTGAAATGCCATCTTGATCCCCTGTCTGTTCCTTCATAGAAAAACACTGGACAATTTTCTATGGATGGTACTTGATATCTGCTCTATAAACTTGCTTTATCTATCATATTTGAGTAACCTTACAACAAAAATGTGTAATAGCAGCATGTTGTGCAACTCAAACCTATCTATTTAACAATAACAAAGTGAAACTCACTTTTGGATCTTTCTGCTATTTGGATTCATTAAATTAATTATAGAGGAGAAGGAATAAGGGAAGGAATAACCAGGAGTGTCAGGAAAAGATCAGTAGATGCTATGGGAATTCATTTGTCTATGTTCTACCAGTTATTCTGCATTTACAATCAAATGTGGCTGCAGTGTCAACGAAAGCAACCTTGAAACCTCAAAGCAAGCGGCTTGCTCAGTTGTAATAAAAGCTTTCTTGCACACTCCAGGATGCTAGAGGATCCATCATGAGAAATCAAACTATTAATGATAATCATAATTAGTAGGTCCCAATAATTTTATCCTCTGTTACTTGTTTAATTTCCTTTTAATTATCCAAGTTGGTGGCAATTACTGTAAATATTCCCATAATCATGTTCCGTAAAGTCAGTTGTAACACTGACTTTAGGAAGCCTTCTTTACTTACACAGAACCTAAATCTGAAATGGTATATCAGAAAAGATATATTGTAAACACACACGTTCTAGAAAGCTATATTTGATAGAAATAAAACTAATTTTAGAAACATTTTATCTTGAAATGTTATGTTACACATAGGCCAGATATTAATAATGTAATTATGTGTGAGGGTGAATAGAGGACACAAAAATAATTCACTCTACCAATGCATTCTCTTTATTAAAATTGAACAAATTTCTGTGAGGAAGATATCTTAGACATACGGTACTTTTTCATGTGTGAGTTGATCATTGGCTAAACTCTGGAGATTGCCCTTCAGCTAAGTCATCAGCTAAATAACCTTTTGGATCTTAAACTCAGCTGAGGAAAGTGCACTGTCATACACCCATCATTCCAATTATACAGAGACACTCATGCAATAGCATATAAAACGGTTGCCAGACCTCGTAAATTCGTGTACCAATTCCTTTGGAGTATATTGCTATAGAGTCATGGAGGACACACTTGTGAATGTGAAGAAATGGGTAGAAGAAAACAAAGATGCTTTTCTGCCTCCAGTATGCAATAAGCTTATGTAAGTGAAGGGTACCATTATTATTACTACTAATAATTTTTTCAAAGATTTGTACAAGTCAAGGATAAATTTGTTTCTAACAAAGCAATTGATGCTTGATTATACTCAACTTTTGCTAAGCTAGCCTAAAGGTTGCTTTATATTTGGAAACTTATCAATCAATAAATGACAACTCTGGATTCTAATTTAAACAAAAATCCATAGCAGGTACTTTTCTAGAAGTACTGTTTTAGTCCAGAAGCTGTTGATATTTCTCATATCAAAATAGTCTGTAGATTGTACAAATTGTTTTAACTTATAAATAAAGTATGCATGTATCTAAACTTACACATTCAGTTATGATGATGCAAAAATTATTCTTAATTGAGGTTCTTGAGCAAAACTGCCCTTACATAGTTGCAAACTGAAATTGCACATTTTTGGGTTTCATATATACAATATGTTAATGTCTTCCTCACTTCCCGTTTGCCAATTCCTAAGTTTGTTGATATATGTGCATGTTTACAGTAATTCTTTAGCTCCAAATCTAAGTTTTCTGTAACTGTTTTTCAACTATTTGTTAGAAAAGTTATAATATAATCTAGAGTGGAGTATGGAGAAGATGATAAGCTGATATTTGAAAGATACAAAAACAAATAGGAAATATCTGAAAACAAAAGCCTTGAGTTACATGCTTCTCCTGCCTAAAACTCATATGCTGTCTTCTTTTTTTTTTACTCATGCACAACTGATATATTTTATTTATTTTAAACAATAAAAATGAGATCCTGTATAAAAATACAATTCATGTACTCATTAACCTGTGTTACATTTATTGTCATATGAAGTTAACAGTTAAATCAGTTTATTTAATGGGAGAAAGAAGAAATTAAATATATAAATTAATATATATTGTCTAAAGATCTAATCAATCAAACAATGATTTTTCCAGAACAAATTAATATGCAAAACAACTTCTATTTTGAAGGGAATCACTAAAGCAAACATATACATGTACACATCTTATGTTGCAATATTATATTCTGATCATAAGCATGTATCGTTTCCTAAAAAGATATACAGTATAAGTTCCAACAAACACAAAATAATACTTTTTGTTGAATTAATGGAATTTTCAAGTTATAAAAGTTGCCATAATAACATTTATGTACTACAGTTCCTTAGTCTTGGGCTGGCAGTAACTGCTGTTTGGTTTGGACAACATAGTTAACTGTAGTTAATCAAAAACAGACACATAAGCTTCCAAGTCCATACAATTATGCCAAAAAAGTTAGTGGCAGAAAAAAAATGCATAAACTAGAGGAAGCATAGGAATGTTACAGCAAAAACCTATATATTTTGCATTGTATCTGAATGAGCCTCCAATGGGAATTCAATATAGTTTGAATTTTACTTGTAGATTATATGATTACATCAGTATCTTCACTTCCTGCCTCTGTTCTTTCAATAAGGACAATACCCCATTAATACTCAATAAAATAATACAAAAGAAACAAAACATGGTAGGGTAGATCTGAAGATGTCTTTCTCCCCAAGGAACTTAAAAGCAAAGAATTACATATGGCAAGTATCACATATTGCAAGCATTTTTTTCTTCCTTCAAGTTGTCCATGAAAATAAACTTCAGGGTGGAAGTTACTTCTGATTTGAATGGAGCAAAACAAAACAAAAAACCCCACATCATTCCCTTTTCTGAAGTTTTTAAATCCTTTTATGCCTTAATTTTTCAGTGTTTTATACGGTTACTGCTGTCTATGGTTATTAACATTAAAACAAAATACTTTTACTGTTATATGCCACTTTTTTCTATGCTATGAGAAAGGGACAGCAATGAAACTGAATAAAGTATTTAAAAAGTTGATGCTTAAAAAATATTGTTCTGCAGGCATCACCGACAGCTCAATATAATGTTTGTTGGTGGACCAAACCAACGGAAAGATTACCATATTGAAGAAGGAGAAGAGGTAATGGTTTGGATTTATCTCTTGGTTGTGCATAATTTTTAAAGCTTAATGTTTTTCCTTGTAAGATTAGGAAAAGGTCTTCATTGTAAAAATATAAATTAAAAAGTTCTACAATATGATGTACACGACTAAAATAAGTATAAACATTTCACAATTATAAACAGAATAAGCAAATTATTTACTTTCCACAATGGAGATTTTATCTGGAGTGGTCTGAAAGATTGGCGAGACAAAGGAAATGAGAGCAGTAGACAACTATTGCTAATTAGGTTTTAAAACAAAAAACTTCAAGATACCATATAGCAGCGGCCCCCCAACCTTTTGGGCACAAAGGACCGGTTTCATGAAGAGAGGATTTTCAGTGGCCTGGAGGGGCTGTGGTTTCGTAGGCTACCTGCATCCCGTGCATGGGGGCTTGTTTGCGCAGCCCAGTTTCTGGCGTGCCACAGCCCAATGCCAGTACATGGACCAGGGGTTGGGGATCCCTGCCCTATAGTATGCTTTCCTATCTTATCAAAACCATTGTGAGATAGGTAGAATAAAATATTGCTTAATACTAAGTAACTGGGGACTTTTAAAGATTTATCTTTTATATCCCTGATTTTAAGCATATTTTTCACATTACAGAAGCAGCAGCATATGTGTTATTTTATTTAAATCTGTCACAGTAGGCACGCTAGTAGATCTGGGTAGTTTGCAAAGTCAAACAACAGAAAACATAGTTAAAAACACAGTGAGATAAGGAATATACACACACACATACATACATACATACATACATACATACATACATACATACATACATACATACCAGTACATACATACATAACAGGGCTTCTGGGCTAAAGAATAACAAACAATTGCAATTAGGGCCACACAAACAAATTAACCCCAGGCCCGAATCCAAAGCCAGGTCTTTTTGGAACCCCAGGAAAGTGCCATCCATATATCTGGGAGGGGGGGAGGATGCTATTCTAGAGGGTGGGGGACATGACAGAGAAGACATGTTTCCTTAGTCCTGTCAAATGACAAAATTTAATAATGTGGACCAGGAATACAACCACTTTGCTAGAAGGTATTAAGTGGGTAGAACAGTTGGGATAGATATTTGTTCATTTTGCAGCTTGCTCTTTTTTCTTTTCTTTTCTTTTTTTCTGTACAAGGTACCATGGGCAAATCTCATGAAATGGTGATCCTGTGGTATACTGATGCCTTCTTTAGAGACTGATTTTTTTCTGGGTTGTTTTTTTTTTTTTTTTTTTGCCTTGAGGCAAGAAAGAAAATTCTGGAGAAATTTCACTGGGAAGTATAGCATTCTTTTCTTTAGTCTCTTCAATTCACTTGGGCACCATGTTCAAAATGTTCAGTTCAGCAGAGCCATTCTTCAAATGACTCAGAATTTTTTTTAAAAAATCACTTGCAGTTTTGCATGCTTGTTCTTTCGCATGTTATTCTTTTCATTGCTCTTGTAAGCTTATTTCCCCATAATCCCACATGCTGCCAGCAGTTTCACATTATTTATGATCTCTTGCAGCAGCTCAATCAGGCAGTTTATAGCACAACAATCTTTGGGAATAAAGAAAAGAATGCAGTGGTACCAGCATGCTCTCTCTCTCTCTCTCTAAATCTAATAAATAACTTCCTATCATCTCATGTACATGTACTTTCTAAATATTTACTTTAAATGTTTATTTTATCATCAGTCATACAGTGCTTGTCCAGAAAGTGTATGAAATATAAAATAGGGTTAAAATTTAGTTAAAAAATAGTTAGAATGCATATAATATAAATATCCCATGATTAAGTACATAAAATAACATAATGGAAGCCATAATTTGTATTGTATTCATCAAGAGCTCTCAGATGCTAAGATATATTAAAAGGCTTAGGTCTTCAGAAAATGTTTGGGTTCAGGGACAGAACCCACAAAGGTTTCCCATCTTGAATCATGGTGTAGAGTAGCCAAGATTGATCTATCTTTCTTTGATATTGTGATAAAAAATTCTGTGTGCTATCCCCCCCCCCTTGTCAAATCATCATAACTGTTAGCTCAAATTGAATAAGGTAATCAGACCATCTTTCTCTTATGACTGATTCTAAATATCTATACTGGAATTCGGTGTGTGTATAAGGTTCAGTCATATCACCCATTCAGCATGCTGTAATAACAGTCCCCATTATGTTTGAAGTGTGAAAATGAGGTCCATGTTTACTACTTCTAAATGAAGATGATGTAGATTGCAAGTCTTGTTTTTTATATATATATACTGATAGTACCGTAATGATTGGTTCCAATTCCTCCCAGTTTTAAAAAGCTATTCTGATTAAACATGCAGATTTGTCAAGGAACATCATTTAAAAAGTAAACTTTTCTTTACAGAATGCTGATATATGAGTTAGATGACAGAAAATTGGCCAAAATATTCTATAGATCTGCCCTTGCAATTATATTCAATTTCTGTCAAAAGAAAGAAATTCAGCTGTCTGGGTTTAATTATTTAATTATTAATTATTGAATAATAATGTCCGTTTAATTATTCCACTGGTAATAATATAGATTTCCATGGCAGCTTAAGACGTGAATGCGTTTCTTCTGGAAGAAACTTTGGGGATCTAGATTCCATTATCTGATGACTCTGGAAATGGTTGACACAGATGGAATTCTTTAATCTGAAACAAGATATTGAAGATGCTGAAGTCAAAAAGGGAACTTGAGCTATTCTCACAAATAAGAAATAATACTTTTGGAATTATTACTTTTCTGGTACTGCTTCAGCAATTAAAACAACAAAACAGCAGGAAGTTAGATGCTTGGAGGTAATGCATAGGTTCAAATTCATGACTATTGACATGAGAGGCAACCCATTACAGAAGCAAATTGCTGCTTTTGGATAGAAGAACTTCTTGTCTGCATTTGTCCCTTCCTTCACCACTATTGTTCTCCCTCTTCAGTTGTTGGGCAGCAATAGATAACAGTATTGCTTGCAAACTGCCTCACCTAATTTGCAGGCAAAAGTGATTCCTTAAATCAAGTTGTCATTAGGCAAGGCATAAAAAGAAGCAGCTCATCATACACTCCATACAAAGACTTTTCTGGCTGCTGTTTATTAGCCCATTGACAACAATGAGTATCTTCTTCATTTTTAAAAAAAATAATAAAACAAAGGGATAATAGTTACCAGTAATATTTAGATTTGCTTGTTTTCGAATACAGAATTCAGAGACATGAGAACTATTGCTTGTATATCTTGCTTATATGCTTATCATGAAAATCTGAATAAGTAGTATTGGATTAGATCATCTTTTCCCAATTTGGTATGACTCAGCTACATTATATTCCATCTTGCCAATTAGTGAGATGGGAATTATGAAATACTATATATAAACCAACACATCTGCAGGAGTCCAAATTGGGAAAGGCTGATATATAGATAGTCCTCGATTTATAACTGTTCATTTAACAATGGTTCAAAGTTACGATGGCCTCAGAAAAGTGACTTTTGACCTATCCTTGATGTTATGATTATTGCACCACCCACATAGTAACATGTTTGCAACTTGGGCATTTGGCAACCAGCTCACATTTACTACAATTGCAGAGTCTTGCAGTCACAATTTTCTATTTTCCCAGTTAATGTCCATCAAATAAAAGTCAATTGCAGAAGGATTCACTTAATCACCATAGTAAACATGGTCTTACAGTTGGGTCCAGGCACATGATTACTCACTTAGCAACTGCATGTCTTAGCAACCAATATTTCAGTCCCAATTGTGCTCATAAGTCAAGAACTGCTTGTATAGAAGATCCACTGTAGCCAGTCCAGCAGGTGACTGATATATTCATCATGTCTGTGCATTAAGTACATCTTTATTCAGAAATCTCCAGTCATTAAAGATTAAATAATGTTATTTTTATTTGTGTCAGACAGATTATTATAATGGATGGATTGCCAAAAGTCTGTGGTAGCATTTGTTATTCATTATTGCACATTCTTAATAATTGAAGCTACTTATTTGAATAGCTGAAGCTCAGCAAAACACTTGCCAAATCAGATTTAGTAATTCAATATGTTATCCTGAATAGCCAGATGGTTAGTTATTTTTTAAGCCATAAACAAATAAACAGAAAAAAGTACTTAGTGTTTCTAAAACATGATTTGCCTGCAATTTTTTGTGTATCCCTTAGATGTCAGTATATTTCTTTCCATTCCTTAAACTCTTAAAAACATAATTCAGTGCAATAATGAAATATAAGACTGAAATTGAATGTTAAATTAAACATTTACAACCAAGACAGAACGTTATACAGGGATTTAACAAGTATAAAGGACATAAACATCTAGGCTAATTAAATTTCATCACAAATAGGTCAATCCTCATGAAATCTTCTTAAGCAGAAAAAAATAGATTCGTTAAGTTCAAAGTATGTTTACTTTCTCCAAAGAAGATATGAGAAGCCAACTCTTACAGTACTTCCATATAACAAAATGACCAGAATCCTGATCGTGTACACAGCCATTTTATTTATTCACTATTTTTTATTTCTTAGATTTTTATCTCACCTTTATTGTTCTCTATAAATAACTCAAGGTAGCAAATTTACCTAATATTCCTTCCTCCTCCTATTTTGACCACAACAACTCAGTAGACTGAAAGACAGTGAATGGATCCAAGGCATCCAGCTGGCTTTCATGCCTAAAGCAGAACTAGAATTCACAGTCTCCTGATTTCTAGGTCAACACCCTAGAAACTAAATAGTATTCCTTCCCCCCCCCCCCAACAGATCACATACTACCTTATTAAAAGCCTTTGTACATTTCCATCCAATTCCCCTTTTTAATGACCTACCAATCTATACAATTCATCTATGTGTCTAATCTTTCACCATTTATCTATAAGTTGCTCATTCACTCTGTTTTCCCTATCAAACTATCATACAATCTATGTAACATCTGATATAGTTTAGTTTTTTGGTCAACAACACAGCATCATCTGCATCCAAAAGTACATGTGTATTCATTTCTCCAGCTAATACACCTCTAATGTCATAAGCATCCCTGATACATTTATCCATAAATGCATTCAACATCCAAGGGACATCATCCCACTTATACAAGAAGAGATATGCTTCCCCACATGGTTCCTCCTACTTTGATTTAGGAACCGATAGTCCAGATTTTAGCTTCCTTCAGTGATTTTGGTTTAAAATGAGAGTCTCGAATAGTACATTGACACAACTATAGTTTGACCAAACTTGCCTTTTTCAAATTTCTCCAGGAAACCTGAAACAAAAATGAGCAGCAGCTGACATTCAATAATAGCTGAATTCACATATCCATTAATGTTGGGGAAAAATCATAAATATATTATATAATAGTATTTTTATAAAGTCCTCTACCTTATGATATAAGGCTAATATTCAATTATCATTAAAATTAAAGTGTAATGCAATAAAGTATAAAACTATAGAAAACCGTTAACTACAGCAATAAAAAGCACCAAATAACAAATAGCTCACCTCAACAAATTTAAGAAGAACCATTTTAAAATATCCACACAAACAGGTTTTACTAGACAGTAAAATTTTAAAACACTGCCGCCAGATATACCCATTTTTTAGGTTGTTGTACAATTGGGTCACCATAAGAAAAAAAAGTTCCTCTTTCCTTGTTATCCATATTAATAAATCCTTCCTTTATAGGCCATTTTCCCTCCAGTTATCTCTATGTTAATGTTAAGTTTTCTTCTAAATTGGTTATCTAATTTGCCATTTTGATTAAATGAGTTGTTTTACTATACTTAATTGTAGCCGTTTTAGTTTTGAACAAGCATTCAGAAAAATGGTGAGTGAATTGACAGTGATTTAAAAGTTTGCATTCTCCTGAATTTATGAATAGTATAATTGGATTTGAATTATGATTATTAATTCCTGTGATCTTGTTGCAACAGAAATATAAACAAAATGACTAAAATACAGTAATAAGCTACACTGCTATAATTCTATGACTTGAACGGCAATCACCTTGAAAGCAAAATATATGGACTTATAATGTGTACAGTATTATTATCTATAATATGTAATAAAATAAGACAAAACATTCACTACCAAACATAAAGGAAGCTTGAGCATTGTCCAAGGATTGTGTCCTTAAATGAAATGAATTCACACCAAAAATTCACCTAGAGTTTGACATTTTGACATAAAAATGGAAGATACGGCAGGTCAGCTTTCGTTTGGAAACATATTGAATCTTCTCATTTATTTATTTATTGTTGGAAAGGACAAATGTATTTACGTTGCAAATTTAAAAATCAAATAAATAAATAAATAAAATAAATAAATAAATAAAATAAATAAAACTGAGTCCAAAAACCTCACCCTGAATAGTAAACAAGAATTTCCGTCTGACCCTCTTCTGTTCCCAAATTAAACTGATTATTTTAGAAACAGTGATTCAACAATGCATAAAACAGATTAAAACATAAAAAAGCATTAGCATAGATATATTCTAGTTTATTATTTATAATCAGCTTTTCATTCATCGTGGCATCTCCCACCTGCAGATATAGAAGAACTATGAAATATATTCTTAAAAGGAGTTATTTGAGTAGAATAATTTGGTTACTGGTCCTGCGACTCTTTCTTTGCATCAGTGAAGTTGTGTTCCTTCAGCTGGTTATAAATAAATACAATCTCAATAATTTATTCAGTGAAGAAAGCAAACATGTATGCAAAATTTATATTGGACTATTAAAAATGACTTCATATATATAGTACAAATCCTATATATTGCATTTTGCATGAGGACAAAAGCTAAAAGAACAAAAATTTCTTCTGATTCCATATATTTATAGAATAATATGTACATTATGTGGTACTTTACTTATCTAATCCCATAGTCCCCAGTTTCCCTTTGGAACATCCTCATGTTGAAAAAAAATAGAATTGAACTCTATATGGGTTTTCTGAGGGAAGACCCATCTTGCAGTTGCTTCCAGAAAGAACACAATCTACTTGGACTATATAAACTGCAGGGCTGCACATTTTGCTAAAGAATCTTGATAAAGCATCCACTGTTAAAAATGATTCCCGAGGTATTAGATTATGTCACACCAACACTATGTCCCACCAACAAATTGAGAAAAGATCAGAGTGGGCTTATTGTGATATTATACAGAATTCTATATAGAACAATAAGGTGAACCAGGTTCATAGTATGAATAATATTTCCAGGAGCTATTAAGTTTGCTTTAGCCATAAGAGCTCCAGATATGACTGTGCGTGAACTTAGACTACAATATATTAAAACACTGCCATGTTTTTAATCTAACTTTTTCCTCCTTCCTACACAGTTGTTTTACCAGCTTCAGGGAGACATGTGCCTGAAGATAATAGAAAAGGGAAAACACAAGGATATCCACATTAAAGAAGGAGAGGTAAAGATAGGTTTGTGTATAAACTAGCAAGCAAATCTCAAACTGTAATTCTAGTATTTCTCTGTTTTGGTATATATTATTTTCATGTAATAATATATTTAATAATTACATGAGACAGTTCAGTATATTTTCCATTTCCCACTTTGGTAGCACATCATGCAAAAAAAATTGAAAAATCTGAAGTGTTAAAGTATATTATTATTGTTATTATCATTATTGTGAAACTATATCACAATATAATTTTAATTAGCTATTCTAAGAACTTTTTCACAAGTGCTATTAAAAAGATAGCAGAAGGGCTGAAGATAGTAAAGCTAGAATCAGTACTTGGACCATTCAGAATCATTATATAAATCCTGAGGAGATGTTTTCAAGACAAAAATGTTTTCAAGATTTTCAAGAAAAGATTGGACAAGTATTTGTTCAGGATGTTATAAAGTCTCCTGCCTTGGCTAGGGGTTCTACTAGAAGACCATCACCTTTTAGCCCTATGATTTTATGATTCTGACTCTGAAGGTCGGCCAAGGTCTCTCACCTCAACAATAAGGGAAAAAAAGAACTAAAATTTAAACCCTTGGTGAAAACATATATATTTCTAATGTATGTTCTTCAGTAGGCAGATGTGCATGTATGTGTGAAATTTATCTAGCCATGTCATGTCTGTGAAACTTCTCCTATAAGAAACTTCAGAACACAGATTGAATGTCTGGAGATTTGGGAGAGGCTGGGAAAAGAATAAAATGGAGAACAAACCTAAATAATCAAGAAATAGTAGGCAAGCCCATTGGCAGCATAACTCATAAAAAGCAATTTAGCATTTCAAATTATTCAAAGAGACTCTGTCCCAATGAACTCACTATAAAAGAGAGTGGGGAATCCCTTTTACAGTTTCCAAGTTTCTGTGTTTGACTGTTTCCAGGTTTCTGTATTTACTCCAGGCTATCTTTAAAGAAATCTGTATAATTTTTCTTCTTTGATATTGTTCAGCTTGATGGGAGAGTTGAGATTTATTGCCATGCCTGGTATGTGAATTCTATCATCAGGTATCCTTCAGTCTGTACCTGTGGATTAATTTCTTTTTCCTATGTAAATAATTTGGACATGGTGTCTTCTGTCCATTATCACAGTTTTCCAGGTGCTTATAGATTGATCTCATTATGATTTGCTCTACGGCTTCCTAATTATTGATGTCAGTCTAATATGACTCTAGGTCCCCAGATTCCCATCCCACCCTTCTTTGATTACATTTTATGTCCTCCAATCATCTGGACTTTACTTCATCAGTTGCAAAGATAATATATAAGGTTCACCCATAATTCCCATAAATACCCTCAGATGCAATTCTTTTGAATATATCTAAAGAAACCTTTTTTTCCTATTCTTAATTTATTCTGACCTTTTGTTTTCCATAGACCCTGTCTACAATGCTGAGCTATCCTTTATGTATACTTTCAGGATGAGCTAACTCTTTCAATCTCTTACATTTTCCTTTTTTATTTTCACATCTTCGCAAAGCATTTTGAGTTTATTTGATGGCTTAAATTTTCTTCCATTTTTTTTCTTATTGGAATTTTTACAATAGTTCAACAAACATTTTCATTTAATTTAATGCTAGATGTTGAATAGTTTATTAGGCTACTTTACAGGAGCATTTCCACTTACATCTAAAGGTACAAGTCTTATTTGAGGTTGTTACTTCAGAGATTTAGTCCTCTGAAGGACTAAAATACTGAGTCTCCTCAGTATTAATGTTAAAGCCTTCCTAAGCAGTGGCATTTTACTAGTACTTATGAACTACAACTAATCTCATGACAATAGCCTGTCAACTACATAATTCAGTATGATTCTAGAAACCCACTAATATCATTTTCAAGGCCTGTTATTACCCTGCCGTATTATCTTCTTGCCCTTCTTCTTCCATGGCAAACAGGATGAATGGGAATAACTGTTGAGCAACCATGAGGTTATTATTTTTTTTATTCTTTGGCAATATCATTTGCCCCACTTGGATTAGTAGGAAGAAATAAGTCTTAAAATTGTTCTGTTGTGATCTTAAACTATAGACCAGTCAGATACCTTTTATAAAAACTTAGGGGTGAGGTCAATAGACTGTTTCTCCTGTTCCTCATGAGTTGTAAATTGCCACCATCTTACTTTATCTTCTTCCAAAGGACAGGTATTCAAAGATCTAACCTCCTGTCTGCTGTTCAGCAGTTTCTCTGTTTGTAGGGTCCTTGGTGCTCTCTGAGTTTGGTAGTTTTCTTGCAGATGTTTCATTACCAAACTAAGTAACATCATCAGTGCTAGAAGGGAGTGGGATTTGCTCTCTGTTTACATACAAGTGACTTGCCTTCTTAGTGTGTTCCTTGATCTGGCTGTTGTTTAGTATTAGCTTGTTAGTCTGTGTTGGTAGTTCCTTGATTGGGGTATTGTTTACTTCTTGATTGTTCGGCTCATATGGGTGTTGATTGTGTGAGGAGGTATTTGGGGCTTTTTGATTGTCTCTTTTGAATGGTATGCAGATGTTGTTTATTCTATGTGCCTGTTGATAGCCAATTTGTCTGAGTGCCAGGGCTCCAGGAATTCTTTCGCATTTTTGGACTTGGCTTGATCTAGGATGCTCACAGATTCCCAGTTGAGTCTGTCCATGTGTTGGTGAATTTAAGGAGTTTTCATCATGTCTTCTGACTGTTAGTTGGTATTCATGGATGCTCTCTACTAGTCTTCTACCTGTTTGTCCTACATAGTGACTGTTATATGTTGTATCTAACTCTTGGTTTTTTCTTCTGGGGCTGCTGGGTCTTTTAGTTTACTTAGGATGTTTTGGAGGGCTTTAGTGATGCCACTATGGTGATGCCACGTGGTTGTAATAGTCTGTTGTTGATTTTTGAGATGTTTTTGATGTATGGCAATGTTATCCTTTTCACAGCTTGTGTCAGTTGAGTGGTCAGGCACTTTTTGATAAAGTTGTGTGGATATCCATTTTGTTAGAACACATTGTTTACATGCTTTGTTTCCATTTGTTCAGGGCTGCTGCAGAGTATTTACGGTTGTCTAAATAGTGTTCTTACACAGCTTCTCTTGTGGGAGGTTGGGTTGTTAGTTTGGTAATGGAGCACTTGGTGGTGTGGGTAGTTTTTTGATACACTGGTGTTTCTAATTTGCCATCACTGCCTCCACTGATGAGGTTATCTAGGAAGGGGAGTGTGTTATTGTTTTCTTCTTCCCTTGGGAGAAAATAGTTTGTCTACTTCCCCAGAAGCTCAAAGCCAATATTCTCTGCAATATAATTTCCTGAGTTCCCGCTTGGCAGAATATATTTTATATCTTTTGTTCTTAATTATTACTCTTTGGCAATTCTTTGTTACTTTGATTATTTTTCTTATGTAGAGTTGCTTCTACTGTTAGCTTTTACCGCAGTGTCTCTTTTGCTTGCCCTAATAAATCTTTTATTTTCTCATAAACTGCGCTCTTCCAATTTTCAATTTTTTTCTTGGAGCATTGCTACAAGTTTGTAGCTTTTGTAATATATGTCAGGTTATTTTCATGAACGAACAGAGACATGTCAAAAGCACTGCAAGTCACAATTATAGAGACATGTTCTGTTTATCTTCACTTCTGTTTCTTAAGGCACTATCATTAAAAAAAACATTTATTTATTCTTGTTCCTTTCTTAAGGATTAAGCTAATGTCCATTTTCCCCTTAGAAGGAAAATTTGATAGATATTCAACTCTTTTCACTAAAAGCTTAAAAACTTAGATCACTTGCTAAGTTTTCTTCCTCATAACTAACTTATATTCTTCCTACATTCTCTGTACAAGGTCTGCTTGCTCAGCAGGAAGCAGCGATTCAGTCCTACACAGTGGGCAATCAACAGCATCAGCACACACTTCTTTGAGCCAGCAATTATTCAAGAGGTGAACTTTTCATTTTGCACAGCTGAGCATATCTCACAGAAAGCATGGTGCCTCTGTCTCATCCTCATTACCCTTTCAAGGGAGACCATACTAGGAAATGAATGCTAATACTGTTTTTATTATAATGTTACAACAGGTTTGAATGTATCCTCCCCCTCCCCTTTAGCTTCATGAGAATTAGAGAGGAGGGTCTTGTCTGCTCCAGACTTTGATTTCTTTTATCTGACTGTTATCTTGGTAGGGGCTCTTCCTGCAGTTCCTCAAGGTTGTTCTTTCTTCCCATTACATTTCCTCCTATTGCTAAACTCCTATTCAATCACTCAAGGCATTCAAGGAAAAGTAGAATGGGAGAACAAAGACCATCTGAAATATCAGAGAAGATGTAACCAAACCTCCTGCTGTTGCTACATGTTTCAACTTTAATTTTGTTCTTAGATGTTTCTTTTACCAGCCAGGATTCCACATTCTCCACAAAGATATGCAAACTCTGTGGGACTGGTTGTTGAAAGGAGAAGATTAGAAACAGAAACTGATGGACTGAGGTGAGATATCATTTTGTTATAAATCTGTTTGTATCATTATAAGCCCATTCTGACAGGTGCTAGAGTTGAAAAATAATCTAAAACCTTTATCTTCACTAATAAATTATATGAGCATATGGACAGTTCTATCTGTGGGAGATGCTCTCACTTCTCTACAGAGTCTTGGGTGACTAGAACCAAACTTTATGTATTATATGTTTAATTCAACTGAAGAATTAAGCATATACACTCTGCTTGGTCACTCATGTCCTAGTCTGGACATGGATTATTGCAATATGAGCTGTATGGGGCTATGTTTGAAAAATATTTGGAAGCTTGCAGTTGCATGAGCAATCTTGGACAAAGAATGGCGTATGTGACACCTTTGCTGTGTGAGCTGCATTGGCTGCCAGTTGGTTTCTGGATCCAATTCAAGGTGTTGGTTATGATTTTTAAAACCTTACACAGCATGAGGCCAGGCTATTTATGGTACTGTCTACCCCCCATCACCTCAGCCTGTCCTCCCAGGTCAGACAGGGAAGGTATGTTGTAGACCCTGTCAGTTAAATAATTCTGACTGGCGGGATCCAAAAAGACATTGTTGTCTCCTATTGCCCCTGCCCTTTGGATATTCTCCCCCCAGGGTCAAGGCAGGCCCCCAATATCATGACATTTCAAAAATATCTAAAGAACTGGCTCTGCCATCTTGCTTGGTGTTTACAGAAGAGCACAGCTGTAGGGTTGGTTAACACTTTGAAATCCCACCCCCCCTTTTAATGAACTTTTAATGTCACACTTTCTTATCCCACTGTAAATTTTCAGTTTAAATTTATATTCAGTTACATTTTTAACATTTTACAAGTGTTTTACATTTTATTTATCCGTCCCAGAGTCCAGGGAGATAGGTGGTTTCTAAATATGACAAATAAATTTAAATAAATAAAGATGTTCTGTATGCAGTCAGACCTCTGAAAACCATAATGTATTAGTGGATCTGAGTCCAGTGTTGTATGCAATGGAATGGAGCATATTTGGATGTTTGGAGTTTATTCTCTTTCTCAGACTACAAGCATTCAGGCTTTGATGGGCATTACAGGGCTTAAAATATTCAGAAACCCAATACTGGAGAAAATGACATATTTCTCTCTGTATGCAGTTTTTATCAATGCTGAGTTAAAGGAAGATATATGTGGTGGCAGAAAACTTCATCTAATCAAGTTCTTTTGATTTTAATGCAACTGGAGGGAGAAGGATTCATAATCCTCTTCCATCTGCCACTTCCTTGGGGGAAATTATCGCACTTCCTATCATGAGAAAAAATATTCATTCTTGAGATTATAGATTTGCTGCCATATAATTATGGTTATCTAATGAGTTAAATATACTGTAATTTAGGGGGCTGGAGACTAAAACATATGAAGAACAGTTGCAGGAATTGGGTATGGCTAGTCTAATGAAAAGAAGGACTAGGGGGTGACATGATAACAGTCTTCCAATATTTGAGGTGCTCCTACAAAGAAGAGGGGAGTCCAAGGCACCGAAGGCAAAACAAGAAGCAATGGATGGAAACTAACTAAGGAGAGAAGCAACCTAGAACTAAGGAGAAATTTCCTGACAGTAAGAATAATCAACCAGTCTTGCCTTCAGAAGTTGTAGAAGCTCCATCACTGGAGGTTTTCAAGAACAGACTGGATAGCCATTTGTCTAAAATTATATAGGGTCTCTTGCTTGAGTAGAGGATTGGCCTAGAAGACTTCCAAGTCCCTTCCTATTCTGTTAGTTGGTTACAAACTTCTGTTCTGTTAATCTCATTGATAACACATAGCCAGTTTTCCCATCCTTTCAGGCTTGTCTGAATAAATTAAAAGCATTATACACTCATTTTTCAATGTTCATGACATATCACATTATTTTAAAAAACAAATTGTCTTCTCTTTTCTGTATTAAAGATATCACATATTTATTAAGAAATCTACATGATATATATTCTTTTTCTTTTCCCAGATATTATGTTGGAGAATCAACAGATGTCCTTTTTGAAAGATGGTTTTACTGTGAGGATCTTGGTATACAACTTATTCCAATAATTCAAGAGTAAGTCTTCTTCAGATTAAGCTTACTTTCTGGGAAGATCTACGTGGGTTTCTTGGCCACTACAGAAAGGGCTGGCCATTATTTTCTCCCTCTCAGGATGTTTTTCTTGAAATTTCTCTGAAATTTCTGGTGTTCAAGTTCTAATCAGGTTCTTCCTTGTATAAACTTTTTGTGCTCTGTATGACCACAGGTAGTGTGTATGAACCACTTATTTTGTTCCTCATTGTTTATTCAGTGCTATCCCCTTTTTCTATACGCCTCATTTTAATTCTAAAGCCACACTAGTAAAATACCTGGACTATATCATCATGTAATACCAGTATTAATTCTTTGAGAGTTGTGCCTTAGATGGTCTACATAGCACCAGAAATGTTCTAGATAGAAGATGATATCCATAACCTTAGGAGAATCCTGAGTTTTGTCAAAATACAATAAACTTAATGGGCAAAAGACCAGGAGGAGCAATACCAAAGTACCCTGTAGAGGACTGAGCATGCTCATTGGATACAAAAATTGACTTATTGGGGAAATTGGAAAGAATGCAGAGAAATATTAATATGAAGCATCTTGGAAATGAGTATAACAAACTTCCTTCAAGCTTGAATATAAATAAGTATATCCTGTAATAATTTCATCAATCAAAGAGAGTCCACTGTTAGTTC